ATGTTAGTATATGACATAAATTAGGATTGATTGACGCATTCAATTGTTTTTGGTCACTTCCTGTTTCACCGGAAATGACTATAACTTTTAATTTTTAAACGGCACCCTCGGTATATTTCTACTTTATTCGATAGAAAATGACATTCTGAATAGAATGACATATAATATGTCAACTTTTGACATTTTCGCCTATGTTTTAATTGTAATTGTAACACGCGGTTCATAACGACAATTTGACTCGAAATACCAAGTGTGTAGTATCAATATATTCATAAAAAAATGCTTTTTCCAAATATGCTAATGAGTCACCCTTGTTCCATTTGAAAAAATTGACATATGTATGATTAAAAATACGATTTGTACATCTTTTAACCGGTCTAGACAAGACACGAAACCTATTAGACGATCAAAACTATTTTTCCAAGGCTCCTTGATTAAAACTTAGTGTTTTTAACAACACCATGGCACCCTGGATTGAAATTTAAAATAGGATATGTTTTTAAGCGACAATGTCAAAAGTTGACATATGATATGTCATTCTATTCAGAGTGTCATTTTTTATCGAATAAAGTAGCAATATGCCGGGGGTGCCTTTAAAAATCAAATATGTAATCATTTCGGTGAAACAGGAAGAGACCAAAAACAATTGAATACGTCAATAAATCCTAATTTATGTCATATACCTACTAACATACAAATCTGTTTTTTTTATCTGAAAAAAATAAAAAGTTATAGGGGTGAGCCACTTTGAGACGACCCGGTATATTAAAAATATTGTTTCATAATGTAATATCATTTTAAAAATTCTTGTATGTTATTTTAGATTCTGAAGATAATTTTAAAATAAACCGGAATATATTTTTAATAAAAACATTATTAATTATTAACAGGGTTATAATTATGATTTTGTTACAATGTAAGTAAGTAAATAATGTAATGTAAGAGAAAAATTCAGATTTTACATTTTACTAAAATATTATCTAAATAAGCGCCTTTCTACAACAACGCCACTGACTTCCAATGGGTAAATTGAGAGTTGCCTACCGGTCAAAAGTCGTTTCAAGACTTAAATGGATTATTTAAGTCAAATTTCTTGCAAATTTGGCACTGGCGAACCATATTTTATAGTTTTTGAACAGAAAAAGTCAGTAAAATAAACACTTAAGGACTACAAGCTAAGAAAATGCGTTAATACAGCCGGGGAGATAGCGGCAACAAAGCTTTACCGCACACGTACGACACGTACTACGAGGTAATAAATGAATGAATAGGCTCCCTCGCCTCTAATCGGTGTTGTCATATTGTAAAGAACTTATCCTTATTAAACAGTATCCGACTTAAATTTAGTAGTATAAGGACTATTTAATACATCTATGGAATATTAAAACCTACTTTATTAAACTGTAGTATTAATATCTCAATATATGTGTATAACAAGAAAAAAAATATTGATAATATTAAAGACGTGACAACATAGGCTGGATGAGGAAGGCTCGGTCGACTGTACCCAGAAGTAAACATGTGTACAAAAAAGGTTGTTTGTCCGCGTTGAGATGTAAATAGTGTAGTCTATATTTTATTTTAAGTCTATGGTTGGAACCTTTGGTGTTACAAGAGCGAAATAGAATACTAATTCACAACAATACACCAAAACATTTAACTTTTGCAGTTTTTCGCTAACCATGTTAGCATCATCGGCAGATGATTAAAACTCAAAACAAGTGAGAGAAAATAAAAAAAGGGTTCTAATCATCTGCTGATGATAGTAACATGGTTAGCGAAAGGCGCGTCCAGTGCAAAAGTAAAATGTTTTGGTGGATTGTAGTGAATTAGTGTTTTATTTTGCAAGTCACAATGTAAGGTAGATTTTTCCAACTTAAAACAATCTAATAAGTAAAGAGAGACAGAGATATATGTATATAAGTAAATAAAACTAGTAGTGGGAACTATCGAATGAATACTATCGAAACATTCGATAGTTGCAATTCATTCGAATAATTCGATAGCTAGTAAGAAAACATTCGTCGAAAACTATTCCAATAAAAATATCGAATAGATGCGTCATCTGCCTTGAAATATATTAATTCGGCAGCAAAAACCATTCATTTATAAAATTCATTCATTTGTAAAATTCATTTATTCGTCAGGATCGATTATAATAAAACATAAAATGGATTTTAGTTGTCGCCCGGCGACGTAGGTTTCTTTCCTAGAAACGCGACAGCGGTCGGTGGCAATGGTATGAAAAAAGCCGGCATCTTTGATTTTGAGTCAGATAAAGATAAGGACACATTATTTTTTTTATTGAGGTGCTAGTATTTACACAGAAAATACATTATGAACGGCGCTGTTGCCGTATATTCGTATTAGTAGGTATTAGCAAAGAATATTATTCTTTGGTATTATAGTTAGTTAGGGATAGTATGACTATATATTTTGCATTTTTTTTTATTAATGTTCTGTTGTTACACTACAATAATACTTTATATTTTGGATGTAGGAAAACGATTTTTAATGTTTTTAAGCAAAACTGGTTTAATAAATAATAATAACAGTAATAATTTGTTACACCTATTAACACCAAAATTTAAAATCATTTAATATAAACATTTTTTTAAGTAGTAGCAAAATATAAAGAACAAATTACAAGTCCAAATTATTTATATTAGATCCTATTTAAAAATAATATAGTCTCTAAATTTTTTGTGTGGCAACGTTGGTTTATTAAATAATAATAATTACAGAACTAATTTGTTATATTTACAACAAATTTTAAAATCATGAAATATAAAAATTTATTAATTTTCTAAGCATGCAGTGTAATAGAAGAAAAATATAAATAAAAAATTAGAAATCAAAATAATTATATATGTGTATTACTTTTTATTACTTTGTATTAGTATTTAAAAATAATATTTGCTTTTACTGGCATTTACTTTAAAAAATAAATAAAATATTTCTTCTCAAATATCTACATGTAAGAGAATTAGCATAAACAAAATACAAATATCGTAAACTTTTTTTTTTAAATTGGCACGTGTAAAACTTTAATCAATCAATTTAATTTTCCCATCCCAAAATTTGAGTTCGATAACCATTTACTTAACCACATTACCACATTACTTAAATATGATTATTAAGTTCAACTAATTCATATTACTAAAACATCTAAAATACAAATACATATGTATTTTTAAAATTAATTGTAAGTTCACCTCATCTCTCTTAAAAATTGTTACTTCTCAAAATTTCCCATTAAAAAAATAGACCATTATAAAATTAAATAATTGAAAGATAGGAAAATCACACAAATTTTCGGAAAAATTTTGACCACCTGCACACGTACAGAATCATCAATTTAAAAAAAAAACACTACTACTTTAGTATTTTAAATATTTTAATAAACGCAAAAATAGCACAGTATTTAGAAGGCAAGTTATAAAAATTTGGAAGGACTAATAATGCACTGACGCAGACAAAAATCAAACGAATATTAAATTTCATTTATAAAAAGCATTCGATAGTCGTGGCTTAACGATAATCATTTAGTCGCACGGCGAGGTTGTTACATATGCTTTAGTATACAAATGAATGGATGATTTTATTCGAATGAAACCATTCGATAGTTGAAATCATTCATACAGTAACCATTCGATAGTCTAATTCATTCGATAGTTCCCATCGCTAAATAAAACAGTGCTCTGACTTTAAATATATTTTTTTATGAATTTATTCACAAGTTGCAATTAAAGATTCTCAAAAATAGTGGCCAGTAGATACTTTTTTTCTGGAAGAATTTATAATATCAACATCAAGCTATTGCACTGGAAAGAACGGCTTTGTTTACAGAGTGCTAAATTTCCAGTATCATCAGTCAATGATTGTTAATTCGTTGGTAGAAGAAACGTGGATATTCCGCCCCAGCGCTTGTTGCAACATGTAGCTGCAGAAATTTATTTCTTGAAAAGAGCATGTAGAGCAAGTGTCAATACCAGAACACATTCTAAATACCATTAGGCAAAGAACGAACATGAGGACATCTATAACAGAAATAATTACACAATGACAATTACAATGGTATGGCCATATTAGAAGAATGAATGACGAAAGGTGATCTCATGGTTGTCTACATTAAAAAGTCGAAATAAAAACAAATCATAAAATTGTAATGTCAATCTGTATGAAAATGTGGCGTGCCCTTAATTCAGAATCACAACACAACCAAGATTTGTGGAAGTGGTTTTCTATTGTTTACCTAATAAGAGATTTTTTTTCAATTAGAACGACCTTAGGGATTGCTACTTGAGGGACTTGATTCTGTGGATGGTATTTCTGTGACCTGACTATTTTGTCGGATCCACTCAATTTTTTACGGTCTTTCTTGATTATTTCTTTCCAACATATTTCGTCACATCGAGCGCTGTGCGACCTGCAGTCTCCTTATAATGTCCGCTGTACGAATTGTCCATGTTTCGCGTGGACCTGTCATAACTGGTAATACACATTGGCCGAATGTTTCCTTCTTTAGTTAAAGGAGCATTCTTGATTTGAATTTGATTGAGTTTCTTCCATATGTACTGCATTAATCCTTCTGTTGATTTCTGGTAATAGAGATTCTGAGCTGTGTATTAGTTGTCCCAAATATAGATATATATTCTTCTACGATTTCCAGTTGTTACGTTATTTACTACAATGTTTTTTTCTGTCTACTAGTTGGTTGTATATTACTTTAGTTTTTCCAAATTCATTTAAAGACCTATTTTATTGCTGCATGTATTTAATTCGTTAATTTGTGCATGTAGTTGTTCAGAATTGGCAATTAAGACTATGGCATCAGCGAATCTTAGATGGTTAAGCTTCGGGAATATCACGTCTGCTTGTCGTACTTCTTCGAGTTGGGAACTCTGGGGTTGCTTTAAATATCATTAGTCTTGCCTTAATTTCTTTGTGTATATTGGCGGGAGTTTCTATATAAGACCTATAATACTAAATATACTGACCTATATCCCACTCGTTGTCATCGTATTCGAAATTGGTTGCTGTGGCCGGTGTCGGCTGACTACTGTTGGTCTGCTGGTGGTTGTGGTGATGATGGTGATGGTGGTGGTGGTGGTGGCCGGCAGACGGCTGTGCGATGGGCCCTTTGGCGGCCGTAGCCGTCGTTGTCGTCGTGGTCGTCACGCCCCCCTTGCAGGAGTCCGCCACCCTCGGTCGGTGGCCCTGGCCGTCCTGCTGATGGCCCGACCTCATTGGGGCCGCCATGCCGCCGGGCGAGCTGCGCGGCTACCCGCACCGCCGCCGAGTCGCTGCCCCGCGGCGCACCCCGCCACCCAACACTGCATCTTATTCCTGTAACAAAAAGAAAATATATTATTAGAAACCAGTCCTACCAACAAGCAACAATGATTTTTCAATGATGATCTCTTTATACGTAATAGAATTGGGCAAAAAATTGGAATATGTGATATTTTTTTTCACCGTGAAATAAAAGAAGCAGTTCACGGTCGTTACCAAGATATGAATAACCCGTGATTGGCTAAAGGTGACTAATACGGCAAACGTCGCGAGATGGCTTAACCTGCTACATATTAAAAGTGCGAAAGCGATACCGAACAACCGTCGTTCAGTCTTCCTCGCACCTTACATCGCTGTAAGGTTGCAAATCGCAAATCACCAACAATCGAAATATATGTTTAATAAATATATGTAGTTAGTATGCAACATGTAATACATTGTGTAATATGTCGATTATGAAGATGACAGAATATAAGCACGATTAGAAGTTCTGTTCAATACTTATACAAAATAATTAGATATTTAAATATAAAAAAACAATTATAAATTAGATATCGAGTTGAAAAATATTGTATTTTAATATGCCACCAATTATTAAAAAAAATCTAAAATAGATAAGTTTTTACAAACGTCAGAAAAATATTAATTTTCGTGACATGATTCACAATATAAAAACATAATTTTAATGCCTAGGCGTAAAAGTAAAGCACTTTTACGCCTAAGCATAAAAATGTACGGAAATATATAACCTTTACATATTATAACGTTTATACAGGGTGTCCCAGAAATAAGTGCAAGTATTTTAAGGGGTGGTAGATCTCAATAAAAGAAACATATTTTCTCTTTATCGTTTTTCAAATAAGTCCAAAATAACGGAGTTATTTTACTTTGAAAATTTCCAAAAAAAGAAGATTTTTTGTTAAACTTTTGAGAACCACTAGATCTTTTCTGGATTTTCTATCTTGTAAATTTAGTCTACTATCAAGAAATTATTTTTTTTAATAAAAACTACAAAAAATTCCAAAAAAAAATTCAAAAAATACCGAATTTAAAAAAAATTCGGGAAAAAAACTCATAGGTGTGTTTCTACAGTTGAACTATACTACTAGTTAAAGTACTTGCACTTATTTCCGGGATACCGGAAGATAGAAGGGTGCGGTTTGCACAAACCTGTCCCACTTTTTTGCCAGATGGAAGATATACCGTAAACAAAACTTTCATAGTCTTCTTTCTGATCTACAATAGTAATCTACCAAAATAATGAAAATAAATATAGAGTGATATACATATATTTTTGAGAAACTCATATTAAGACGGATCATATGATTTATAAATATACAATGTATTCCATTTGAAAAAACATAACTTTAGTTCATATTTTCAAAAATATTTTAAAAAAGTTCTGCAAGAATCAGTTTTCACCTTCTCGATATCACCCACAATAACGGACGAGGGCTGTTCCAAATTGCAAAATGTTCGAAAAGGCCCTGCAGCTCAGAAACGAAGAGGGCTATGAAATTTTTGTCTACAGCATCTTCCGTTTGACAAAAAAGTGGGATAGGTTTGTGCAAACCGCATCCTCCTATCTTTACTAATAACGGAAATACCATATGATTTCAACCAAAATGGGACACCCTATACAACCTCGTCATAAAACAGTCATTTTTACTCCTAATAAAACACTATACTGTTTTTATAGATTTCTTTATTCCCTTAGATGAAAATTACGCAAAATGTAATTTATGTCGATAAGTACCTCAAATTCAAATAGATAAATGTGTTATTTTTAAATAACAGTTGAAACTGTTATTTGTCTAATCATATTGACAAAGATTAAGAAAGAGGGATATAAAGCAAAGAAAATTAAATAAAAATGACTCATTATAAAAACGATAATAATTATATACACATGTTTTTATCTTCCTCTTTTAATAAAAATAGCTCCATGTCATCTTATTGAACGTCAATCCGTCTTATCTCATTTTAATCTGAGAGAGCTTTAATTTTCATCTTAACATATCTGAATAATAATTGGCATTAGTACTGATAGCAGTACTCATCTTGACTTATTAAAAGAAACAAGATGCAAAAGATAAAATACGCCTGTCTAAAAAATATTATGTTAATCAATTTTCAAGCCAGTGACGTACAAATAATATCATTAAAATATCAGTAAACTTTTTACGTAAAAAAATAATTTCATTTTATAAAAATTTATTGGCATTACATTACATTAATTGATCGTTCTGTAGGGTTTTTCTCAGGACACACGACTCCTAAATATAAGGATCTTTTTCTACCAATAAATGAAAAATAAATAATTAGTACGCCTCTGGCTTCTTACCTGTCCAAGAGATTAATATTTATATATCGTCCTTTCGTTAGGATTTTGCTTGAAAGGATGTCATAAATTATAATTTGTTTAGATTTGCATTTTCGGTCATCCGCCTGGGCAAAGTTTACAGAATGCCTGGGCAACCAGTTCTTTGTTTTTATTCGGCCTGTCTTGCTTTTTAACGATTCCCCTTTCTTTTTATTTTCATGTCATTAGCACTCGGAATATTTTAATTCTACAGGTAGTGGACATAAGCAAAATAAAATCCATAAGCGAAACCCTCGTTAAAATCAGACATCGTTTTTCGTATTTCTTTTTTATAATAATTATTATTGGAAAAATGGTTTTTGAAATATTAATAATGTTGCTCTTTAACATGACTTGCTTTATAAAAAATGGACAAAACAATTAGAACATTTCCCATGTCATAAAAAAATTGTGTTTGCACTATGTGCGCATATTTGAAGTGAAACTTCTTACTAAAAGCTATTAAATTGAAGAATTTGAAGGATATTTTTTATGAATGCTTTTTATAAACTTCAAAAAAATTAGAGTTAATTTAAAACCGTATATTATTCTAGCTTTATAATTTTATCATATTTTTTTTTAATTTTTACGATAATTCTATTGCCCGGCCGGATAGCTATGTGGTCATTAAACCAAAATACTACTGCATCTATATCTCTGACTACTACTAACTGCTACTAACCAACAATTTGTTTTGTGTGGTCTGTGGTCTGTTTTTGTATAAACGTGTTGTTCATTATTCATGTTGGGGATTAATTTAATGGTAATCGTTAGGCAACCAGTAAACTCATAGAATATGTATTTCTTTTGCATAATCAAAATTGTCACTCTAAATTTTACAGTCTTTTTTAGACAGATGTCACTTGTCTTAGTATTATTCAATTCAGTATTCGAATTCTCAAAATGTTGTTAACAAAAGTTTCATCTTTAAATAAAATTTTAGTCAATCACAATTGTTTATATCCATCATGTACCGGATTAAAAATACAGAAATTACAGTTCAATTAGAAACAATAATTCATTATTTATAGTGATTTACAGTAATTTTATTAAATTATACGAATATTCTCGTTGATTATTGGTTTGAAATAAATATGACAGTGTCCTCCAATGAAAATACAAATTACTAAGCCGTGTGTCAATTTTTACTCCCAACGCGCGTACAAAAATGGGAACAAAAAAACACCCTTGCTACTATCATTTAAAAAGTAAGAAAGCTAATATAAAACAAAACAGACTGATTATAATAAATCGCCTCTTTATCATTTGACATTTTTTATACGAAAGGATCTTTCAACTCTTCATATCAACGCTGTAATCTAAAAGCGAAATAACAGACACATACTAAGCTTAAATCAATTATTATTATAACGCTTACAAAATTGGATTAAAACGAAAGCCTCTGCTCATTTATCATACTAACTAAACCTAACAAAGCAATCTGTTCTTTAAATAGCCCCCTGATACCCGCCATAAATATTATAAAACAAATACAAAAATGCTATAAATCGAGTAAAACGCTTTGGAAATAATTCAATATCCGCTTGAAAACCGCTGGCAACAAAGTCGATAAAATATATCTGTCGACCACTTGAACCGACAAAATTCAACGTAAACACAATTTATTTTTATAAAAATCCAGAAAGAGAGAGATAGATACCTACCCGTTAATAGTCAGTCGTTCCCGGAACGATTAGTAACATCTGTGCTAATGTCGGTGACAACATAACACAGCCTAATATTATTACTCTTACTTTTAATACCAACTTATAGGGTGTATAAACCGCAGCATGCCATTCGACAATTTCAGGGATTTAAGTAATAGCCCAGAGCCTATACAGGCCGAGGTTCAACAAATTAGAGACAAGCTGAAATTTGGCATGGAGCTTCATTTTGTAGATCTTTAAACATCCTGAAACCCCAGCGATGAAGCGTTGAGCCCGTCACCCCAAAACCACCCCTACAAGGGGTAAAAATGACCCTTTTTTACTTTTTCTTCAATAACTCTAAACCAAGAATTTTAGAAAAAAAGTCACGAGTAAAAAATTGAAGAGAAGAAAATTTCCTACCACATAGGTAAAGAATCAAAATTGTTTAGAATTTCAGTGGCGCAGGTGGGAATTCTTTAATTTAGGAGGATTGTTTTAATAACCCACCACTCTGTGTTTAACTTCAAATGAGACCATTTTTGAGATAAATCTGGAAACCAAAAAAATGATTAGGATACAAGTTCTTATAAAAACGATCTTTTTAATAAAGGTAAGTTACCAGTGGCGGAGATAATTTAAATGTGCGTTTTTTACATTTTAAAAACATTGAATAAGAAAAATTGCAATTTTACAAATAATTTCCCATGAAATAGGTATATTGAAAAATTTACACGTTTAATAACAAAATAAGAAAAACCTTAGCTCAAAAATAGGATAACTTATCTTAAGGATAGTCCTCATTCACTTCCACATTTGTTGGGTTCATACATGTAATGCCATTGCATTGACCATATGCCATAGTGCAGATGAGTCCCATTCGCTTGCATGTACATGCATTTTACAGCCTTTACAAAAATTTTTCTCTAAAACCCATGTATGAGCAATGGGCTGATCTGAATGTATTGGATTCATTGGAGTATTAATTCTATCATTTATCATTACATCAACGAGCCAGGGGTGGAACTCTTAACTAAATAGCTATT